GGAGAAGGAGAAGGAGAAGGAGAAGGAGAAGGAGAAGGAGAAGGAGAAGGAGAAGGAGGAGTATGAGTATGAATGAAAAGAATAGTTGTCCAAGAAAATGATACGGATACAAGATGGAATGTGAATACCGCAATGAACTTAAAGGAATAGTTGCCAATAGTAACCGATGATGAGATATGAATTCCCCATCCAGTATCGTAATGCAATGGAGATTTGAGTCCAAACCGCAAACTTCGATTGTGTCTGCGTTCCAAATACTGTAAAATTCTGCCTGCGCTCGAATCACATTCCCCTCTCTCCTATATTCTCCCACCTCTGAGTGAAGGCTCACCTGTATAGATTATAGATTTGTCTTTACTTTCACGTGGTAGATGTTGAAGCTGCTGTGGCCGATATTTACGAAGACCAACGCCAAGGCTTTACTCAGAGCGGTGAGTGAAGAAAACCGTTGAATCTATTCACCACCAACGACTCTTATCCTGACAACAGTGACGTATATGTGTAGAAATGGAAAGCCAGCTCGAGACACGCGAGGATTTTTGTTAATTGCCAATTTTGTTCTGACTACACCACGTGTTATATTTTGACGTTAAAAGAAAAGGACATTTTGAATGGGATTGTGATTAAGAGATCCTACTTGGAAAACCAGCTAGGGGTGTGTTTCAAAGGAAGTTGATCCGCTGAAGATCTATTCTAGAACTATCTTCATGGAATAGTTAGGAATCGGAAGTACATTAGTTCATGCAAGGGTGAAGGGGATACTATCCATCCTCAGCTGCATCATTAGAAAGGCAATCGATATCTACCTTGTCCAGGTGATCTGAAATAGTGACGTAGAAGCTGCGAAAATAGACCATCAAAAATTAAAAATATACCCGCCATTGGAGGAAAAATATAAAACCAAGAGAAAATGAACTAACGGAAAGAATCCCCGCGCCCCATCATGAGCACTCATGATGCTATTTTTTAAATCATTGATGCTATATTTAGAGTCATTCATTTAAGCGTTTGTTTTTCGCCACACGCATACTCCGCGCGCTCTACGCTGTTTGCTCATATTTTCTCGTGTTCTAAAAATAGCATCAAGTATGGTATGGTTATGTATGGTTACAAGCATGAATATCAGAGATTCCTTCTCTTAGTTCAACTCGTGAATTATGGTGTCACTGTTATCAAGCGCGTATTAGCAACGATATTTTTTTCATTTGGTGGCCTGGAAATCCGCGATTTCAAGAGGAAAAGCGACACGTCAGTTTGCAAAAATTCTTGATTCTGTTTGGCTAACATTTTTTCTCAGATCAGCTGAATATAATGAACTTCATAAAATGTTGATTATTCTTTTATGTTTATGTTTATTCTCATTTACATATATATTTTTTAATATATTTATATCATATGTATAAATTAGTTTATTGTAAAGCGCCTCGAGTTTTATTAGGAAGCGCTATATAAGAACTTTTATTATTATTATTATTATTATTATTATTATTATTCCCTTGGGAAAGAGAAGAAGGGAGAAACATTCGCTTCGTTTCTAGGAGCTTCTTATGTCATATACGTACGATATATAGAGATTAATCAACTCCTAAAACTGATGCCCGACTTAATTATCCACATTAATCAGTGGGACAGTCTTTCTAATAGATTCTCAGTTGGCGCCGACGTTTCAGCTACCCCGCATTATATGATGTATACAGTCGATCCCAAAAACGTTGTCCAAGTGAAAAGAGGTTTATAGGACAATAAATGTCACGTGTCTCATTAAATATTCAGTTTTACGCGCGTGGATTTTTTTAATTAGCATACTGATGCAAAAGTAAATTACAGTATTGAAAACTGAATCTGAAAGATGCCACGTGCTTTCTCGGATGATTTAAGGTGGAGAATGGTATACCAACATTTGTTTTATGCAAAAACATACCAGGAGATAGCCGCTAATCTGTTTGTAAGTCCTAAAACGGTCAAACGGACATCTACACTARTGGAGACATTAATCCTTGGCCCGTCGGTCGACCATGTTGGAGTGTCTTCTAGAACATCCTGAAATGCAATTGAATGAAATAGCGTCGAAAATATTCAATACAACTGGCCCTKCTTTTAGTGCCCAAACATTATGCAGAACGGTCCACAGGCTTGGATTCACGCGCAAGAAAGTATGGTACGTGCAGATTGGTTTGCTCATTACTCATTACTCAGTCTTGCAGAACGTTCTCTAAGTCTGGTAAGGCTTTCACTAGCTCAGAACGTAGCTCTGAAACGGTCTCTAACACTGGAAAATTGGGTAAACTTCTTACAACGTAGCTAGACTTCTTCTTGGAGTCCAAAACCCGAACTTCTAAAGTCGAAAGAACTTGTTTTGAATTACCCGCCGTCGACATTTTCTGCCACTCATGTGATGCAGCACGTTCAGATTCCTAGTTCCACACGCGCGTAAAACTGAATATTTAATGAGACACGTGACATTTATTGTCCTATAAACCTCTTTTCACTTGGACAACGTTTTTGGGATCGACTGTATCTACCAGCTGATCTGAGAAAAAAAGGTTAGCCAATCAAAACCGAACATTCGTTAGCCTATCAAAATTGAACATTTGTTAGCCAATCAAAATTGAAATTTTGGATTTCCAGGCCGCCAAATAAAAATAATAACATTGCTAAATAAGTGACTGATAACAGTGACAAGATATTTAATGATTTTGATATTTTTATTGCAAAGACAGGCGTGTTATTATTTTTCTGTGGTCAATTTTTTCTTGCTTCAGGGCACCTTAGTTTTGCAGTGACGTTATTTATACGTCACTATCTCAGATCAGCTGCATGGTATGGCTTGTATCCTTCTTTGCATGGCCACGTGACAAAATGTTGCATAGGATTTAAATAAAATGTGTTGAAAATGGTTTTAAAGAGCATAGGAAATTGAAAAATTCAAAACATTGAGTCTAAGATGTTTCTTAAATTCATAAGATTTGATAACATATGCAAATAATTAATGACTTATTTGCATATCTAATCATGAACACTCGGCTAAGTTGATATACCGTTAGATATACTGAGTGATGCACCGACGACGCAGATATGATCACGAGACCACCGGTGGTGTCGAGCACAACATAATGGTCTCTAATGGCGGTCGTTTGGTAAATAAATAACACTCAACACAGCAGGACTACTTGAATTAATAAACTATTATACCCCACTTCAGGTAAATTGCCACAATAAACTAGAGCTAAAAAAAGTGATAGATTACTTAATTCTTGAGATTTGCGCGGAAAGCTGAAGTGTAAAGCAGAAATCTCACAATAAAAATGAAAAAAACTTTTCTCTATTTTTTTTTTACAAAAAATTTTTTTAATAATCTACTTTTTGAGACACTCGAAAATTCGTCGCAAATCTGGTTCCTTTAGGAACACAAACTTTTATTCCCTCTTTCCCTATTTATTTTCTCATAATAATATTTATTTCTTACTAGTATATTGCGCAAATTCCATGCAACCACACAATTTTCATATTTTTCAGAATTCGTTAAACCGCTGATCACTAATACCGCAGGCCTTACCCTTTAATTCTTAGAAATTTGCCCAATAATAAATTCTTCCCAGCTGTCTGAATAAAAACCGCATCTTAGCCGAATGCCTATTGATTGAGAGAGATATTGACTGTGTATCCTGGTAATTAATTGCCAACATGAGTCGTTCACACAACAGAAATAACAACCAAATATTCTGTTGATAGCAACCAAATCGTTTAATTTGAATACACTTCATTGAAGACCCAAGCTTTAAACGAGAGATCCCTATTGACACCTCGACACCTTGAAAATTAAGTCTTATTTAATTCAAATGAAAATCTGTAGTCGAAATTGTATTCCTTTCTTTTCAAGTTTTTTTTAGATTTTTCACACCCTTTGGGGTGTTGATCAGTTCTTTACGCTGAGATGTGGCGTCTAACAGGTTAGTTCAGTTTTTGTAGTGTTGTCAAAAGATTTTTAGAACTCTAACGACCAGCTCCAACGTTTTCAGACTAATTTTGAATTCATAATGTTATGCATAAAGAGGGATGAATTTTTAGTTTCATTCTTTTCAAAGAGAAATAACGATCCTTTTTCGACTGTCGTTCAAGTTTCTTCTTCTAAAATCTACTTCCTTGAAAAGAGTCAGTGGCATTTCCTAGATTAAAGATTATAAACGAAGCAGAGGAAGAAATTGAAAACTTCTTCAATCCCTCAGGCGATATTCATTTTGTAATGTTTTTATTATTTTATGAAGGAAAGTAGCCTAGTTCGCACTCAATGCGGCTGCCAGATAGTCTGATGACGACAAGAAAAGATTCAAATGCTTCTTAGAAGTTTTGTTGTCACGCGAGCTGTGAGTCAATCTCCAATTTCTAGCAAAGTAAAATACTCCTTTTTTCAAGTTCATCAGAGAAAAAAGATCGCCTCACAAGACAAAGCTACAAGTGTTAGACAGGAAATTGCTCGAGATATTTTGCTTTCCTGCCTGAGAAGTTAGAGATAATTCGTGGAAAAATTCATCAAGTTTTTCCAACTGTTGGTGGTAACAATCAAGATTAACATCTCCACGATTGAACTTCATCTTCAAGAAACTAGTTTTAACTGACTTCTTCATTGAATAACCGCTTGATAGAAAATATTTTGGAAGCGTGTAATTTTTCAGCAAGGTTTCCTCATGATGAAGGAAAGAAACGACAGTAAACTCGAGGTTTTTAATCCTTTTTTGGGTTTACAACCAATGCTGTCTCATAGAAGCAGAACTCTGCCTCCGATAAAGAGATCTTCAAGAGATTTCCGTACCTCTAAACTTTATCCCTCAAGAATACCTGTCAGAATTCCTTTTCCTAAGCTGGAAAAACAGCAGAGAAAAATGGCATTTCTGGATGGCGAAGTAAATTCTGGACTTGGTGATGCTTTTTCTAAATGTTCTTCCAACTTTCAGCAAAGGAATCGGTTGTGTGCAAAAACAAGTCAATTTGAAGATGAATGGACTGGAAAGAAGCCAGAGAAAGAAGTCAAGAAAAACGATTTCTTGGGCAAAAATTCTGAGACGATGCGAATTGAAACGCCACGTTTTCCATCATATGGTATTTTTCACCGTCTTGAAAAAAATGAAGGAAAAATGGCACAAGAAAAAGTAGCAAGCGAAAGTGACCTTGCACTGATAAAAAGTTCTTCTTGGGCAAATAGCATTGATGATAGGAAAACACATATGTACGATACGAAAAGAACAGACAGTTCTTTTAAAAAACAACTGAGTATTGAAAACCAATGCAGCGAAGAGAAAAGACAAAACCTTACGAAAAGGCAAACGAGAAGTATAGGGAAACATTTACAGCCATTGCAAGAGAAGTTAATAGAATATCCTGATGTAAAAGTCAGAGGAAGAAGAGGAAACATCAAAATAGAATCTCCTCCAACTGTCGTTGTGGATTTTCATGAAGGAAACAGTAAATTTGAAATAGAAAATCAAAAGTTCTTGGAAGATAAAAGAAGAGTTACAACTGAAAGAAAAGCTGTTTCTAGCAGGAATAGGACTCTTGATAGACTGGAGGAGAAGCGTCCTTGTCCAGTAAAGAGAACGACACAATCAGTTGCAGAAAAAAACACAGGCATACCTTGCAAACCGAGACTACACAAAATCCATCCTACACTTAACACCCACAAAACATAATCAAAATAGACGAATATAGTCTGGTAAGATAGCGGCTAAAAGTCACCAATTCGAATCTCTATTTATATTCATATTCATTCGGAAAACTTGAAAAGTTGGCTGTCTTCCAAAATACTAAATCTTTATAATAGCCAACTCGATATTACTGGGTTGAAATTCCATCCAAAGAAAAAGAAATTCTATATTTATAGGCAAGAGATATATTGGCTACTATCATTCATGATGACATATTTGTTTTGACTTAGCAAGAATCTTTTTACGATTTATCGCTATTACTTAATTCAGTATTCAGATGACAATCTTTTAAAAATAGACGTATGTTATGAGTCAATATAAAGCTCGTTTACTTTATCTATGAACACTAATGAGATGGCTAGTAAAAAACTGACATTGAAACCCCTTTTTTTCGCGCGCTGAACGGTTCTTAACAAAATTTATAGAATTTATCAAACGTGAAGCAGCATTCAAGTGCAATTTTCAAAATGTAAATTCTATTCTAAATTCCAATTGGAATCCAGTGGAAGAAGAGCCACTCTGTGGAATCCACTGTTAATCCCATTATTATTTTAATATTATTATCATGTTCAAGAGAATTTCCTTCTCATATTATTCCTTTGTTGTATTCAAAACACCAACACAATCCCAACTAGTAATCGCTAGCATTCGAATTTTCAGCAAACTCTTGCCAATTTGTTAAAGGTGTGGCACTATCTGTAGTTTTTTTTACAGCAAACGAAACGCGGGAAAAATTGCCGCGTTTATCGCCGCGTTCAACACTTGAATTGTTTTCTTTTACCTGAGTTACTGACCTCTTAACTCTACTTTTACTAAAAGACTTCTGATCCAATAATAAATATCGTATTAAATTCGTATTCATTTAAAGTTTTTCTCTTTTACAAAAAATACTTTAAAATTAACACAATGCAGGAACATTGATTTGTTTAGAATTACTTTCGTGTGTCGAAGTTTATTACCATAACTGTTGTGTGTATTGTCTTGTATTATTAAAATAGCGACTAGCTTAACAATTGTAATGAATTCCCAAAGGAACCATGAAGGATGACAGCGTTGTGTTTAACTCGTCAAGAGATAATAGTGGTAAAAAAATAGCGTGAAGAGTGATTACTCTATTTTCATGTAAAAAATCACCTTACAAGTGAAAACAGAGATTGGGGACTGATTTACAGCGATTTGGAGGAGGTAAAGTTTTTATTTGAAGGCATTTTTTGAAGGGATTTCAGCCAGAAGCCGAAGAATGCATCAGTCTGTTTACGATAAAGCTTTAGCTATCTTTCACGAAGGTACAAGGAATCTCGAATTAAGGACTAAAGCCATCGATCGAGAACGGACACAGTCAAGTATAGAATACAAGCTGGAAGAAAGGAAAGTAAAACAAGATTTACTGACGATGATAAAAGACAAAAATCGTTTTGATAACGAACCGAGAGGGCTTAATGCTTTTGACAAGGGATTGTTGAGACGTGAAAACACTTTCAGCGGTATGGACGCTTTCAAGAGACGTAAACAGTTCCGACTCCAAAAGAGCTTAAGTAGCCTACCCCAGCTCACATGTACCACAGCAAATGTCCCTAAAATCATGAGAAGAAACTTGTCAAATGAGTCTGAATTTCACAACTGGCTCACTGGGCTACCAAAAATAGGAAAACCGTCATTTTCTTTATCGTCAAGACCCGTCACTAAGGAAACAACGAAACCTCTACCCGAGGGAATTATACAAAGGAGTGACAGTAAAGAAGAAGAAGAAAGACGAATCTCTAAAGTATCAAATATAGTTTATAACGTTCCTCTGTTTTCTAGAGAAGAACGAAAAGTAAAAAGAGAGAACAGTTTTCAAGCTATTGATAGGAAAGATAACAGTATTGCGAAACAAGAAACTCGTCTGCCATCCATCAAGTCACGTGAGGGACGCGGGAATTTCAGCACCAATAATGCACAGGGAGATGATAAAAAAAGACCTAAGACTCAATACAGCTTACGAAAACAAAAAATATAAACATCGTACATCTTCTTACTTTGATTATTATCTAGAAACAGATGCCCTCGGGTCTAGAGAATCTCTCGCTACAGGGCTTCTCTCGAAAATCAACGACCGAGAGGCACTGGAGCGAGAGAGCAGCTTCTGGAACCCAGCGGGATAATAATATATATCGTTAAATAGTTTATAGGATATCTTTATTGTTTTTGTTATAGTAGTGTATTATTTTTCTCCAAAGAAGCTAATTGTTGCGGTTTCGAGGTCTATTTGAAAATTGATGGTTTTCATGACCGCCATGTTGAAGGAGTTTAACAAAAGATTTGTCATTAGTCTCTTTTGTTATATCATCCAACATGGCCGCCATGTCTTACGTTATTTCATTCTCATGGGGATGATTACTAATTAAGGAAGTTTAGACTACGAACGGCCATGACAGATCACAAATCTCTGGTATCAGCTATACGCTGTGAATGGGCCGCTTACAAGTCGTAAATGCTAAACCGCCAGATCCAGTCCCATTTCCTTACCGTTTCCCAATGAATGAGAAAGAAACTGGAACCGAAGAAAGAGCTAATTATTGAAGCAAGACTAAAGTTATCGATCAATTAGCACTATTTTTGATGTGGTTTGTTACCTTGTAGTAACGAGCTTAAGGTATTAACTTAACGACAATGGAAGCGGAAATCAATTAGCAAAAATAAAGAAAGGGGCTTTTACTAGTCCTTTGGAAGTTGTTTATTTTTTCAGTGCATGATTTTGCAAGACAGAAGGTCGTACTTTCAGTTTATAGCTATTTCAAAAAGAGTTGGTGAAGGTTTCGTTGTATCTTGCATGCTGCATACCAGGCCCCAAATGCACCATAGCGATGTGAATCTAATCAACAAAAAGATCACAACGACATGAAATTTTCCAAAACTTTGTCTTCACGTTTTACCTATGCATAGGATACCTTTGAAGCTTAGTATGCAACAACGCATGCAAGATGCAGCATGCAACATTAAAACCTTCAACCTTTTTTGAAATAGTCATATAGATTTAGAAGAGATAACTAGCTAAAAACTAGTGTGAGCTGCGTCGGTGTTTCTAATGAAACAATAATGATAAAAGGGTATATTATACACCGTGAAAAGATGAAAAAACCTTACTGACGTTTCGGACGCTTGTCCTTCGTCGGAGTAAAAAAAAACAATATATAGATTTAGAAGTCGTTTTCCATACCATAATGTTGAGAATTTTGGTCATACCTGACAATTTGATATGCAGCTGAAGACGACGACAAAATGGTGGGGTTTTAGCTTCCTAAATGTAAACCTCTTTAGTCCGGCAAACCAATTAAAAAATTTCGTTGTTGGAAGTTTGAAATTTAACTGTCCGGGATGCCGTGAATTTTGGTCTTCTCGACAATGACTTAAACCCTTTGTCCCCGTCTGTTTTCACGATAACCCTGTACAAGGCGGATGTTAAAAAAACCCACTGAAGACGCTGGTGACGACCATCTTCAGTGCCCGCGCTAAGACTACAGGGCACACAGTAATTGGCTATGCTGTTTTGGTATCCCTGCCTTCAAAGGAAAGAGAAACAGATCGTGAAAGCGGTGACTATCATATTAAAAGATCCGCTGGAATCAAAAACTATTTATGTCATTTTTTCCTCTCAATAAAGCCAGAATTGTGTAAATTAATGTTAGGGTTCTGAACCTTGCTTTCAACTGCATTGCGTTTTCTCTTCTTTTACTAGTTACTGTTATTAACCATTACGTATTACAAAAAGGTGCACAATTTCCAAAATGCGTACATTTTTCATACGACAATAAATAGTTATATTTACAGTTCTAATCTAATATTTACAAAAATGATTTACAATAGAACATTTGCAGATTTTTTTTCACTAGTCGTACAGCAAACTCAATTGCAACCTGCTCATATCTTTTAGAAATCATCACTGATCAAGGTGTGTCGCCATTGTCCTTTTAGTCAATGGAATTGCTTCGCTTGTTTCCTAGCTTGCCTGCCCTAGTTCAGGCCGGACACATGCAGAGGGTCTCAGGGCACAGGCCTTTTATGACTTGCCTCGTTTCTATAGTCGCTGATCAACGTGTTAGTCTCGGAAGCTTTGTGCTAGGAAGTTTTGCTCTGTTTAGTTTGGGTTCAAAGTGTATTTCATCTTTGAAAAGACTCTTTCTCCTATGGATCAATATCCGCCATTTCTGTTTGACTTTTTTCTTCTCTAACTCGGGCTCCTTTCTCATTAAAAAATCAAAACTTGTACTTCTTCGTCTCATTGTTGCAGACTGCTTCGGTTTCTTTCCAGAAATATTCCTGTAGACCTCGGAAATACTACTTTCAGTATCATTCTCTGACATTTCCGTCAATGGCGACGACTGTCTTCCAACTACAGCAGACTCTTTAATTCTTGGAAGTGAGAACGATAGCTTGTTTGTGCCATTTGCTGCTGGCCCTTGAAATGTGCTGTTTGACATGTGGTACAATGGTAGCGACCCACGTCTAGCTGAGAATTTGCGGCTTTCCTGAAGATGTAGTGGTTCTAGATGATGGGGAATCGATGTTCGCCTTCTAGAGGGGCCGGCACCTCGTGTAAGCGAGCTTGAGGTTCTGTTTGGGAATGTTTTTACTGACGAAGCGCTGCATTCGTCAATATCAAGTGACCTAAGCTTATGTTGAATCCATTCTCGATTTCCAGCAGAGTCGTCTTGGCCCTTGAACTGACTCTTGTAAACATCCTTCATAACTTCGCGATGTTCCTTACTTTCGAGAAAATCTGGCCCACTAAATTTTGATCGGAATTCAAAAGACTCCGCTTTCTCTGTATGTAAAATACCTTGAAAGGAAAACCTGTTGCTTTGTGAAGTGTAGTCTTGGTTTTGCTTTGTGTCCTCAGCTTCTCCAAGATGAAGACGCGCATCCAAGCCATTGGTTCTTCCCGTAACTTTTGCTAATTTTGTCATTTCCTCGGTGTTGTCGAGAAATCCTTTGTCAAAGAATTCGCTCACAGATGGGGCTGTACGGTTATCAGTTGTAAGCTTCGTCATGGTCAAATTTGATTGATTCAAATACGTGTGTTTACGAAGTGAAGTACTCCCTTTCAGTCATCCTCATAAACAACTTATAATAACTTGTTATACATGCGCTGCGCTGTAGTTATTGTCTTTTGTTTTTAATTTATGTTTGAGAATGACCTTAGTTACAACCAGGGAGGCGTGTCCATGAACAAGAACAATGAAATCTGCACTTGATTGGTGCACATCTGTGGAACCAGCTTTCAATATTATCTCACGAAATACAGCTAAAGCACATATGAAAACGTTTATACGTGACGGAGTACCAAAGAAGGACTAACTTCATGCTAATACGCTATAAATATCATTAAAAATTCAACTAAGGGTAACCGAATTCTGCAAGAAAAATAACCGATTAATCTCTGTAATCCACTTAACGACCTTTATTGTAGATGATTGAAAAAAGGATAAAACAATAGATTCTTAAAATAACAACCAAAAAAGCTAATAAGCTAGCTTGGCCAAGTGACAAAAACATCTTTGTTCATCTATGTAGTATAAAAAATCAATTTTGTTCGACAACGATTCAATTGATCATAATCACTGTCCACAAATGCTTTTCCCTTAAAATGTTCCTAAATCGTTTGTGAGATAAATAATATATGAAATTAGCCTGCGTGCAGCCAGACTTTTCTCTCGTATAACTTAACAGTCGGTTAGGTCGGCTGCACGCAGGCTAATATCAACTAAGAGCAAGAGGAAAAACCCTGAAAGTTGAAGTTACCTGAAAGAGATCACGCGCGACCAAACACCACCACGAGGCAGGCACGTGAAAAAAGTACTTGCCCCTGAAATTTTAGTCGCGGGGGAGCCAAATGAAAGAACTTTCAAAATCGAGATTTTTGTTGGCTTATGATACACAGGAAACCCAAGATTAGTGTCGCGGCTTGCAGCAATTAGATTTTCATGGTAAAACATTAAAGGTGGTCCCGTTACTCTCGTCAAATGTTCTCGTTTCTCTTAAGGCACTGTTGCACGAGGCAACGAACTTGCAATGCAACGTTGCAAGTCTCAGAGGATCGAGATTGCGTGTGTAACACCCCCGCTCTCTGCAACTTGCAATGCAACGTTGCAAGTTCCAGAAAAAGTTGAACGAGCTTCTACTTTTCGCAATGTTGTTAACCGGCCAAGTCGCAGGATGTATTGAACACTAATCCCACAACCTCATCCACTTTCAAACTAATAAATGGCCAAGGGTTAAAGTTGTAAGATTGTACGAGGAACATTCCTGGTTCAGCGATTCCTGTAAACTGTGTCGGGTACCAACTTATAAGAAAAGCCAATGTTGAATTTCGACGAGCGATATGTGAAGCTATTGATTTGTTTAATACGATCATTCTTAAGTAGTCAATTATCACTTTCATGGCATAAAATGACTTGTTTAATCTACGATGACCCATGGGACCCAATGTTGGCAATATAAAGTGGCAAGAACTGAAGATGATAATCTCTGTTTGTTTATTTGGCTTCTCCTTTTGTTTCACAGTTCTGGCTCATAATGCCATTGATTTCGGATTAAAATTATAGCATAAAAGTATAGATTTTTGATTCGTGCAGTTGTACATTCTTACAGGCAGGAGACTAAGTACTTCTTGGCTGTCAATCTGTTACGCAAGAGTACCTGGCTAGATATCAACCAGAAAAGTACGAAGGAGTTTGTCAAAGACGTTTCTTTGTGGCCATTGTTTACACCAAGTTGAATTTTTTTGAACACGGTTATTATTCTAATTCAGGTGTTTTTTACTTTGCAATCTTCTGTCAGGACGTATACCACGAACAACCTGTCCAGGCAGAAAGTAAAGTAAGCTCTTTTTTATTAGAATGGATGAAACAGAAGAGTCTTCCTTTGATGGTCTGGCGAAGTTTAAAAAGTCGACTTTCTATGGGAAGCGTTCCAGTTGCCCAAGCTCAGTGCTCAAAGATCCCAATGACATTTTTAACGTATTTCGAGGTGCATTGGGTACCCTGAACGAGATGAAAGTCGAAGAACGAGAACAGTTTTACGAACCGATAGAAGAAAAGCCTAATTTAGAAAATATTGTTCAAGACGAACTGCATCTGCCCGATTTGCAAGACAGACTCGTCATTTCCAACGTAGAAACAACGGCTAAATACGATGTAAATGGGCAAGTAAGGTCACCTAGAAGAAGAAGCGTACCAACATACAAGAAAAGCCCTCGTGATGTACCAATCATTACGGTCGAGTCAAACGCACCAAGCACTCAATTCTGGACTCACCCAGCATCACCACCTGAACCGGACATGACGCCAAATACAACGTCGTTAAGTCTACCACAAATTGACAGAACGACAAATGGAAGTAAGAGTGCTTACGCCAAATCTTGCATCGATGGGCCTCAGAAGTTTAACACTCGACTAGAGACGATGGCAAAGAAGGGTAGAAGGAGTAATAGCCTGATCTTCCCATACAGACAAACCGCGTTTGGGAAAAGTCTTCAAGCAAAATGGTGTGGTAACGGTACAAGTAAAAGGCGCCACTCTTCCTATCATTACAAAGCCAGGTCTCAGTCCTGGAAATTACAACTTCACGAAAGAAAACAACCTCATTTCACTTCTTGACTTCAATGCCATGTTAGTAGATGGCGTTTATGGATCAGTCTTATCAAAGCTTGTCATGGAACTAGAATGTTACCGTTTTGGCATCAAACCGAAAATAAAATGACCAGGAGTATTCTAGAGTATTGACCAAACGTACCTGTCCAAATGTATCTGTTCCATGGGCAATTCACCTCTTGGAACAGTGAACGTCTTTCTCTTGCACAAGAAATGTTGTCTAACAGTGATAAAAAACCTTGCTGCAATATGGTGTTATATATAAATATATATATATTTGCAATTAATTTAATTAACATTTATCATTAAATAGTTTAATTTAAACTAAAAATATTTAAGGGCTGGTTTTATTATAAATTTTACTTTAAATTATTAATATCTTAAGGTTGTAAGATTTTGCTCAATTCAGATTACTGGCTGCAATGTTTGTACCAAATAACTATTTACCTATCTTGCTGCCGATAAAAGCTATAGTAACTAACAGGGAAATTATTTAACGTTCTGTAATTTAGAAGAGATAACTAGCTAAAAACTAGTGTGAGCTGCGTCGGTGTTTCTAATGAAACAGTAATGATAAAAGGGTAAATTTTACCGACGAAGGACTAGCGTCCGAAACGTCAGTAAGTTTTTCCATCTTTTCATGGTGTAAAATTTACCCTTTTATCAGTTCTGTAATATATTGTATTGTTTTTGATATCATGTCATTTTATTTCTTTATACAAGGTATGGAACCAAAATTTGGTACATTTGAACCAAAATTGAAAAGAAAATTTGGTACATTTGGTGTGGTCGAGAATTAACTGAGGTTCCTATTCGGAACTCGATTTCATTGTAGAAAAAAAAAACTTAGAACACAATTCAAAAGACATTAAAATAAGCTATAGTTCCCCGGCCATTGAAAAGTATCATATGACTTAGTAGTATTAGCTAAACAATATAAAACGTTTGGGAATGTACGTTATTAAGCTGTGGGCCATTACTGCAAGGACACTCGAACCATGAAGACTTCAAGTTTTTTTCAGGTTGTTATTTCCTGAGGAGCCGGCTAGATTTGCTGTCCAGCATTGAAGTATTAAGCAAGCAAGCACTGGAGAGGCACTGGAGCTAGCACTGAACTGCACAAAAATATCAACACAAGAACACCAACAAAAACACCCAACAAAAACACCCAATCCCATTCAAGTTTAATTTTGATATGATATTTACAATTAAATCACATGACTGTATCAAGAAAACGCATGGTGCCAGTCTACTTTCTTCTGAGCAACCGGTTTTTGCACTGTTGAAAAGAAATAAGAAATGAGGGCCAAACCAACTTGAAATTCCTTTTGTACCATTCCCTGCAACAGTCAAAAAAGATAAGGGTTTTTATTACTGATTTATTCTAAAAAAGCCAAGATCCTAGTAGATCAAGAGTGCAATACTATGTACTTATTGACTGAGTGGGAGGGCCGTACGGGAAAATATTTGGCTCGAGGTCATGCCGTATGGAGCGAGCGCAGCGAGGTCCGTACAAATGACCGAGAGCCAAATATTTTCCCGTACGGCCCGACCTAACTCAGTCAATAAGCATTTTATCATATGACCCTCACGAAAATAAAAATAATAAAAAAAAGAAAGCGCGCGGATTCGAGCAGGGCCGGACGGGTTTTTCCGGCCCGCTTACGTCAACCCGTCCGGCCCCCATCACGTGACTTTTTCCAATGGTTTTATTAGAGCGCGCGAGCAGGGCCGTACGGGTCATATGATAAAGGAACTTAGAATGTGCATGAATTATTAAATAATTATAATAAATTTTTTATAATTACCAGAGATAATCTTTGTGAAGATTGAAGTTCTTATCCAAGAAATCCTTGTAAAATACTGACAAATCATCTGCAAACTGCTTGTCTAAATACATGATTTCATAACATCATAATAATTAAACTTTTGCAACAAATCATAGCCTGAGTACAGGGAAATCAAATGTCCTCCAACCATAGTTATCCCACCAATTAAGTTGTGCAACAGGATCTAATCTAAGTAGGTGTGCTGGAACATTTTACAAGTGTCCTCGCACCACAGGTTTCCAAGCATTGACTTTTTGCAACCATTTGTAGTCTCAGAAATAGTATCCCAGAACTGTGTACAAGTGTCTTCCAGCCGCAGCTATCCCAGTACTGTTTACAAACATCCACCTAGCAAGGTATACCCACTCCAAATAGTTTCCCAAGGGCAGTATGTTTTAAGTTGTTAACTCACCACTCTCATCTTCATTCTTCCTTCTTTCTGCCAAGAATTTTTTCTTTGACTGAAATAAATAAACACGTGGAATTAGTCTGTATGCCTATCCTATTCCCCTACCTCTAGGAATTTTTAGTAAGGGAGGGGGGAGGGGTAAGTAGGAAAATGTCATTTTTACATTTGGTGTTCAAATACAACAAAACTAGCCTATGTGATGCTGGAATACCTCATTAAAGTTCTTATTATGCTTTGTCCAGAACTCCTGATGCCATGATTGCAAGGCTTGCTTTTGTAGTCTCAGTTCTTGCTCCTGTTGATGTCAACCAACGTAATGAAATTCTGATATCCATACTTTCTTCAGGGGGATATAACTTTAAGTGTAGCTTCAAGTCTTACATATGTAGAGGATAGTGAGCACAGCAAACGAGTGAGAGATTTTCAACACGAGAAGATAAATTTCGTATCTCCAAGCGCCCATGTAATATTCTGTTTATTATATAATTATCAATGAAGTATGTTTTGGCTTTTTCAGGCAATTCTTTCCGTGTATTTTTGAATAGCCATCACAATGGTGTTATTTTCACGTGTGAAAATAACATGTTATTTTCACGTGCGAAGATATCAATTTTTCGAAATAGAGAAAAATAGATATTTCATTGGTAATTATATAATAAAAGGGAATATTTATGTTATTTAAATTTAGAGCTACCAATACTGGTTTATGTATTGGAGGCTAGTTGGGATAAAACATATCCTGTATTTGCTGTAGTTGTGAAGTGGTGAAGGTCAATAAGGGATACATTTTCTTCCAATGTCATCAATATAAACCTGTAAAGGCAACTCAAAATCTCAATAACTTTTGCATCGTGATTCTCCTCTTGCAAGGAAATTCTGAAAGGACAATGTGGGTTTATATTGGAGGCTCTCTCTTGATTAAACTTATAGGAAAATCACAATACTGTTATATTTTTTGTGAAACTTTAAGGTTATACTAATGAGCAGTAATAGCATATGCCTTTTGAATGTAGCATATTATGACAGTGAAGACATAGAGCAGTTTTCGTATGACTGTGAAAGGCTCGCAGCACGAACACGGTCGTGACACGGCAAGGGATACACCAGACAAATCATATTGCTCGAGAGTTTACTCTCCATCCAATCAAATACCTGGAACATGGCATAAGCATGACACAGACAGGGTCACGTCAAGGCACTGCACTTTCAGACCAATCACATTGCGCGATCAAAAAGTCAACCAATTAAAATACTAGAAAATATCACGGTCACGGCAAGGCACACATTTGGCACTGAGCTTTTCACAGTCATGCAAAAACTGCTCTACTCATCCCCTAATTATATATCCCAGTTATAGTACCAACTTACCCTTCGTGTCTCGTAGGATTTCTTTGAGAATATCATCTTTCTTATATTTGACTTAGAATCTTGTGGCCCAACTAAATCATAGTCTTCTGGATGAGTGTCTCGTGAAAATATCTTTAAAAAACGAAAGTAAAATGTCAAAATATCTATCACGTATAATACATCCTTGGGCTTCCTGTGCTTTATATTTTACCTGATCTGAACTTTTACATCTTAAAGTCTGAAAAGATTCAAGCAGACACGTAGATTGCCGAATGTACAATCCGTTAAAAAACGGTCGTATTTTGTAGATATTCATTATGGTATAGCAGCATTGGTAAACTTTATGTACACAATCCTTCACTCCTGTCCGCCATCTTTGCAAAATTATCTTTTAGTGCGCATGTCTAAATTATCGTGGGCTCAGGCTAAATCCAAAATGGTGGACGAAGGTAAACTTTGAAGTTATTTAACCTTTAATTTATTTTACTATAGCTGCTTATTATAGCTGCTAAAAATCATTGCATTTGCGCAGCAGTATGACAAATTATTGTTTATGGTGTGTTCTCTAATAGAGTATTCTAAAGTTAGAAAGAAAGGAGATGATAAAGAGGAGCTCGAGGGGGAGACAAGCCGACCTTACCGAAGAAAGCTAAAAAACAAAGGTCTGTTAAGCTCCGAGCAGTCACAAGATGTTACTGCCTACTGCACTATTCTCCTAGCTGCATTTCTAGTATTTTATGATATACTTGTAGTTTAAACTAAACTTTTAATTAGAACATAGCTAATGCCTATAACTATAAGGAAGAGTGGTTCCAGACTTTTGATGGTGGTGGTGTTGTTAACTTTGTTGTTGTCTTTGTCTTTGTGGTGGTGGTGGTGGTGGATGGTGAAGGTGCTGAGCGGGTGAGAGGGAGTGTAACAATACATTAACTTTGCAGAAAAAGATAAGAAAAGACAAAGAAGTAGAAGCAGAAGTAGCAGTAGTTTGTCTTCAGATTGCAGTAGAGAAAGATCAAGATCAAAAGGTAAGCTGGCTTGAGCATTTTTCACATCGTGTAATTGTCATCAGTCATCATGATCAACAACATGTGTATGATACAGATAAGAAGAAGAAAAAGAAACAAAGGTATTCCAGCAGCAGCTCATCAGATGGATCTTCTAGTTCTTCAGATAATTCAGGTATATTTTTGATCATGTTATTACCATTATCATCATCACCACTGTCACAACTATCATCATCATCATCATTGCCACCATCATGATCCATTGACATCATTACCACCACCACCCCATAATCAACATCATCATTGTCATCACCATCATCATCATCATTATTACCACCATTATTATCACCACTGTCACAGCCATCATCATCATCATCATTGCTACCATCATGATCAATCAGCATCATTACCACCACCATCATCATCGTCATCATTTTTATGATCATTATCATCATCCAACACCATCTCGACTTCATTCTTACCATCATTTTTGTTTGCGTCATGCAGAGAAAAAGAGAAAATTGAAAAGATATTCCAGCAGTAGTTCATCAGATGGATCTTCAAGTTCTTCAGATTCTTCAGGTTTGTTGAATAGAAATCAGCTGTTTTTCTGCAAACGATAATATCCAGCATGCAACATTTTCCTGATTTTGTATTTCCTTTTTTTGGTTAAGCTGAGAGAAGAAAGAAAAGAAAAAAATCAAAAGTAAGTTTATTTGTTAGGCTAAGTATTTTTAAACATATCATGACAATGGTTTTAATTTTCTGCAGAAAAAGAAATCAAAGAAGGACAAGAAATCAAGCAAAAAATCTGGTCCTGTTCAACTGTCTCAAGTAAGCTTCCCTCTTTGTCCCTCTTGAGGTTTTTGGAGGAAGGGGGGTTTCTGTAAAGACCATTTTGGAAGGTAGCCTCTAAGAAGACTCCATAAGAGGAGAGCTGGGCATGCCATTTTGAAAGGGGCTCTGTGAGGAGCTCTAAGGAAGGTCATCATTTAAAGGGGCTCTGTGAGGACCCCAAGGAAGGTCATTGTATGAAGGGCCTCTGTGAGGATCTTCAAGAAGATTCGTCTTTGAAAGGGCAAGGGGCTCTGTGAGGAGCTCTAAGGAAGGAGATCTTGCTACACCATCTTAGAAAAGTGATCTGTGGCTAAGTTCTTGATTTTGATTTTCTATTTCAGTTCATGAAAGAAAAGAATTCAAGTCGAAGTGCTGTGTCAGGGAAGAAAATCAAGATGAAAGTTAAAAAATCCAGCAAAGATAAGGAGGTACTTTAATTACACTGTGATAATCTCATAGAGAGACATACTCCTGTTACTAAAGATAAAATTCTTTTCACCATAAACAGTTTACTGTTTAAAAAATTATTTTTTTCAGATGGAGAAAAACAGAAAACATCTCCTTGCATTTTTAAACCAGACAATGTGAAAAGATCGATGTTTTTATTTAAATGGTCATCATAGCAACCGTGTGAAATTTGTTACCATAGCAACATCTTTCCTTGTGAAAAGGTTTCGCAATCAAGACAGTTGGAGAATTTCCTACTTGGAACTTTTTATGACGGGGAAATCGTCCAAACATGCTTGCATGTATAAACAACCAATGACAAAAGCAAAATTGTTTTTCCCTGTTTGGAAAACGGTCGTGCGTACCGACAGCTTACCGACGATCCAACGTACCATATTTGGGGCTTTACGAGAACCAACAACTGACCGGTTTCGAAGGTCATTTTTGGGGCATTGTGACCCTAGTACTGCGCGAAGAATATTGAAGAAAACCTCGTATATATACTTAACAGGTTGTCATTTTTTGGGAAGAAATTATACGCCATATTCACTTCATTGACAAAAGAGTAGAAGACACGTATGTACTTAAGGTAGAGAAACGAGGCTAGTTTGAAACGATGTTTTGCTCCAGTTGAAACTAAATGGCGCAATACATTATGGTAGAGTTTTGGTGTAAATGAGAGTGGCTGATAACCAGCCGTCACTTTGTACAAAATAAAGCGATTCTACATACCGCGTGACGCTTATAATTTTGAAATTAACATACCGCAATGCATTATGGTAGAACCCAAGTGTCGTGGGATGTAGCTAACCACTAGATGTCACGTTATGTAAATAAAGCGATTCTACATACTACGTGACGCTTACTCTAGTCTTGAAATTAACATACCGCAATGCATTATGGTAGAACCCACGTGTCATTGGATGTAGTTAACCACTAGATGTCACCCAATGTAAAAATAAAGTTATTCTACTTACGACGTAACGCTTATTCGGGTTCTTAAATAAAGTGATACCGCAATGCATTATGGTAGAAGCGAAGTTTGATCTAGGCAACAGGCGAAAAGTTATAGGAGATAGGTCATTCCAAGATCCAAGACTAGCTGGAATGACTTGTGTTTCTGCTTCTTATTCTCGTCAAGAACATGGACCTTAGTGTGGAGACTTATTCAATGCTATTTGAGGTCGTCGGAACCATTTCCGTCTTGGAATGAAGTATCGCCTTTTGCGATGACAACGTTTTTTGAAATAGGTGTATCTAGTGATTGAAGCGAGTCTTCATTTACTGATTCACAAACTAATTGGATCTAGTCGCTGTTGGCCACGACTTGGCGTTGTATCACTACTGAAGTCCTTAAACAATTTTTTACTGTGTTAAAGTAGAACCTCAATTCCCCTAGGGTGGCCGCTTAATAAGGTTTGATCTTTTTTTTGGCTCTAATCGCTTTAGTCTGCTAAAACCTTTTTGCACAGCAGGAAAAAAAAAAAGAACGTGGGCGTATTTTTCTGCTCTGAAGAAAACAGGCCTGGAATGACCAATCAGCATGCACCATATTATCCTGCAGCCCTATCAAATTGATTAGACCAATTAACCCCTACCCCCTGGGGATAGTTTTGATCTCTAACGATATCCAATGATTTATGCACTTGTTATCAACTTTTTCTAGCTTTCACTTGATTTCGGTATACATTTAACTTATGGAAAAGTCTTATCTCTGATCTTGATATAGCTCGGCGTATCTTCTGTAGTTAGGGCATATGTTATATTCAATGTGGTTTCATCTTTGCTTGCACCATGCAACGTTCCGCCGCGCTCGAGGCAATTTAAAAAGTATTTTTACCTTTTTTCCTGTTCTATTAGATCTTTCTCGAAAACCTGGATTTTTGAATCGAATGGATAGCGCTATCTAGCTCTTTTTATCTTTTTAAGGTACCTATGAAAGCGTTTTAATTATGCGCGCAATCAACGCCCTTCTAAAGAAGGCGATATTCGAATAGGTCTATGCGGATCAGGGATTGAAATAACCCTCAGCAAAACAGGAAGAATACTTAAAACAGGCGCTTAAGAAGCTATATGAAGTGTTCGTTAAATATCCCACTCGCTAAGGTTTTAAAGTTTGGTTATTTCATTTAGTGGAATTAGAAACAGCTTTTATCGCTGCTTTAAATAAATGGCGCGCTATCAGGAACACATATCGGCATGTGTTATAGCATCTGCTGGAATCGGCTTCTAATTATGACTTTCTTTCAACAACAAAAAACGATAATTGTAATTCATATGTAGCGTCTTTAAAGCAGCTTTCTAGTTCTGTCATGTTTGATGAACGAGGAAATCTCTCATGAAGCTCTTTAGAACGAAGATAGTGGTTGCATTTGTTGAGTTTTATTGCATATATATTGTTTTACTTTTTAATTCTAATTTACATCTTGATATTCCATTTTGTGTCCACAACTGATCTATCTTTTAACTGCGTAATTAAAAAAAACATTAACCAATGGCATAAGACCTGCATATTTGTCATTTCAGTCCGTATATTAAGTAGCTCGCAGCCATTGAGAACCATTGCTTAAAGTAGAATATGCCCGACACTATACTGTAGTAGCGTCGTTACTTCCCACGCTTGTTCGCCTGGGTGTTTTATTCGATTCAACCCACGCAGCTTGTCCTTGTGAGTTTGAAAGTCTCTTACAGGATAAATCTAACGAATGTCTTTAATTAAGTGGCTCAGTCAATAATCAAGGAATGTTTGTAGCAAATCCGTATGAAGACCTACACTGTACCTCTATCCATTGTTTTAGCGCGTGACAGGTCGCTCTGTGTGCATGCGTTACAAAGAACATGTCACGCATTTCATTGACGTCGAGTAGCGTCAAAGTCTGTGGTTGCTTTTACTATTGAATAATTTTACCAATCATTTCTCGATGTAACCACAGCTAAACTAATGTAAACTGAAAGGTCTCAAGAGTTGGAAAAGGGAAAGAAAGAAGTATCTGGCCGACGAAAAGCAAACAGAATTCTTTCCATCGCCGTCTGATAAGCGCGACGTTTGAGTACCCCATGAAAAGCTCTTCGAATCCGTAAGATTTTTTCCTCTTTAAAACAAACACGAAAAACCTTTACTTACTGGGCTTCGGATTGAGTTTTGCAGCTGAGTTGAAGTTAAGTTAAAGTACAGTTGGATTCAGTTCTAAAAACGATTTGTTGGACGTTGAACCGTTAAAGATTTTTTTGATCTATTTTTATTTTATGTCAATTTTGACATATGTGGTCGTTCGCGAGCCTCTTCGGACAAAAATGCTCGCATTTTTTTGCTTGTCATTTTAATTGCCAGCCCAGATTTTCAATTGTTTTATCAATGGTACAGTAGAATTCACAAATAGCTATTTATATACGACAGTGTTCCCGAAATTCCATCTCCCTTGAACAGCAGACGTCAAAATAATACATTCTGCTTCATGTCATTGAACTTTGGCGGCAAATCCTCTAACGTTCATCTATTTTTTTCCCAGGTATTGGATCTAGCAGCTAAGATCACTGGATTTTGCTTCTTCCTAAATCCTTTGGGAAGACTTTCTCTCGTTTTTTAATGAAGACTAAGCGATATTTTTTTAATTAGATGGCGTTTTACAAAAGCACACAAGTTCGAGAAGCTTTTCGTCGTTCAGGGTATATGAACTAGTAGTATCTGTTCTGATTTTCAGGGGTTAAAAATGCCCAACTCACTCTTATTCCTTACTATTCTCTGTGTCTTTACCTTTGTGGCTGCAAGACCTAGAATTTATCGGCAAGTAGGTAAGTCTCCATATTTTTTACCATTAAAATCACAAATAGAAAATTCCACTCAACTTAGCCTACCTAATGACTATATTCATACGCTTAAAGGGTTTAGGTATAAAAACACATTAAGCTCTCCATCCTCTATTTATTTTATTAATTTTGTACTTTAGCGATGTAATTTTACCAAAAGTACAGAATTTTCCGAAACACTCTTACCTTCAAAACTCAACAGTATTTTTTTATGGTCAAATTTTAAATTCATTTTGTAGTCAAATATCTGGCAAAAAAAAAGAAGATTCTTTTTGAATAAGAACTTACATCCAAATATATGTTTTCTCATACTTCAAGAAATATTGTTTCTTCCAACACCTTTACAAATTGCCTCGAATCTTTCAACTTTTTGTGCGTGATGTTTGAGATAGCAATATAGGCTGTCATCATTAAAAAATATTTCATCTTTGCCAAAATATACTCTGCCAAAACATTTCATCTTAGTAAAATATAATGTTTGGTTTTAAATTATGATGTTTTGATGTTCATTATCTTCAAAACTTCGCATTTACGTAATGTCCTTCCTACAACTAGTTTTTTTCCGAATAAATATTTAACAAAATAAGCGGAGAAAAAAATTTTTTTTCCATTGTTGAAGTTCGATACATTGTTTAAGCTTGGGAAAATTGCTTGCGTGGTTGCATTATAAATACTTAAATTTTAAGTCCTCACTTCGTCAATAGCCTGTAATTAAGTAAGAATTCTTTAAGTGACTTCTAATCGACGGCTTTTATTTCATGCCTTGTGGAGCTTGGCTAAAATAAACGAGAACCGTGCCAGGGATATCCCATAAAACATTTTCTTTGAGCTTTGTTTTGAGGAAGCTCTGAGGTCAATGTAAATGATGAAGCCTATTACTTTCTACACGAACATATTCTTTTGGCCCTGTAGACCACAAAAAATCTAACAAATGGCTTGCGGTCAGCCGTAAGGAAGAGCTTTGATATTTGACGTTTTTGAAATTTCGAGCTGATTTACGCAAAGTTTAGATTTAATGACAGAAAATAGTGAGGTTATATTATGCCATCTTTGTGAGAGCAGGTGATTAAGAGCCGAAATACGTGTGTCTTTATCGTGTGTCTTTAAACATCGTTCTGGCTCTTTCCTCAGTTTTGTACCGTTGTACACTTTTTTCCCTTCAAAGGTTTAATTTGCCAAAAGCACGAACTAATGGTTCTTGTAAAGAACTCCTATTTCTAATTATTTGATAGGAACAAGGAAGCATAATGAAAATAAGGCCTAAGTGCTAGTCTCGACCATTGAGCATTAGACCCGTGTTATGCCGACCTAATTCGCCTGATTAGTGCTTTTTCAATGGGCAATGCTTTCTCAGTGTCTGTCATGATAAAGTTTGATTAAAAATAGCATAAAATAAAACATTCAAGAGAAAATTTCTTGTCCGTGTATCTCAATCAACTAACATGGCGGCTATGTCTTGTTACTTCGTTCTCTTGGAAATGAATGTAAACCGTCTATTATTCTCAATACAATTCCTTCCTTTCCATTCCACCATTTTTTTTATCTTATGAAAATGCATTTTACTGAGCATGCGTTGAGGAATACTTTTTGTTTTGTACCCAGGTTCTTCGCCTTGTCCAGTAAAAGAGCAGCTGAATTCCCCGGGGACAATCACAAGTCCAGGCCACCCGGGACCTTATGCGAAGAACTCTACGTGTACCTGGATCATAGCAGCCCCAAGAGACGCAGTTGTCTGGTTAGAATTTCTGTCCTTTGATATTAAGTCGGGTCCCTCATGTGGTGCACCGAGGTGCAAATGTGATTATTTACAAATACGAGAGATAAAAAAGACTCTCCCTAAGTTTGTTAAGAAGTTCTGCGAGGGACATTTGCCAAAGGGTGTCATACGCACCTCCTCGAGTAGGGTCCGTGTTCAATTCGGAAGCGACATAACCGACGAAGGGACTGGATTTTCCTTAAAATTTTGGTTTACTCTTCCTACGACCAGTCCTCCTGTAGTACAAAATGCCACTACCATCCCCTCTCTAGTGGTTTCTGAAGTACCAAAACAGGCAACGAAAGCGAGAAACGTGACGTCATCCAATGAAGTGACGTCGACCAATGTAGTCCCAGTGGTTGCGACGCAGGAGCCAACAAAACAGACGACAAAAACCAGTGCACCTCTTATCGTAGACGAACCCACCAAACCTGTTTCTACTCCTCCAAAACAGATTTTCCCCGGTACACCAACCACTGAGGGCAGTTATGGCTTCACTCCAGTACCGTCTGAAAAATACAGCTCAGTTAGTCGCCCCATAAAGGCTAGAAGTACACCATTAAAGGACGGACCACCCCCCGCACCGCGGGGAAACTATGATGGTGGGAATACTCGTAGTAACGTTACCGTACCTGTCGTACTGTTCCTTGAAAACAAGAAAGAAGCAAAGAAAGCCGAAGAGGAAGAGGATCCACCCGATGCTATTGTCCTGGGGCCTTCAATCCCGATTATTTTGATATTTATTGGCGTTGTTATGGCTATTGCTTGGTGGAAGTTTAGAGGTGATCAAAAAGAGCGTCTAAGGTATTATAAGGAGCAAATAAGGTATTAATATCATTTCTTGCTTACTCTCTCGTATTAATCGACACTAAGCCACGTCCGTCTTTAGAATCTCCTTCTCTCCGCCCACAGTCATATTTTCTATGGGTCAGTATCAAACTTGACTTCTCGGAGGGAACAAGTATGCCCTGGGGGTGGGGGAAAGGGCTTGGTATATGATTAATAGTAAGATTGTTAGGCAAGGGAACATGAATATTTATACTCAAGCGCCCAGTTCAGATCTGCCATATCACAAGCGAGGAGATGTCTGTCTGTCCGTACGCGCTGACATCTTACTTTGTGGATATTAACGCTGGATAGCTGTCTTGAGCTGCATAATTTACATTTAGCCATTATTTTGCTCTCTATACATAGAAATACTAACAACTCCTTCAGTACTCCTTCTTCCTGATCATTTGTATGGTAACTGAAGTTTCATCTTGAACTTATCCCACCGTGAGCAATTATTTAGCATAAAGAGAGGAAATCGTTCTGCAACGTGATTGGTTAAAGCTCGATTGTATGAATTTAACATTTTTGTCTTCCCGCAATAGAAATTGTGACGTATATACTAGTATTATTGTGTGATTTGTGACTTTTTAAATCGTATTTCCCTGTCCAAGATACGAAGAAATATCCAAAAGAAAAAGAATCTTCAAAAAGAAGCAAAACATGAGAGAAATTCGGTAAGTACAGGTTTATGTTTCAGTTAAACTTGACTTGTGGGGAAAGGTGGAGATGAAAAAACCTAACCACGATGGAATGATGGGGATGGGAAATGGAAACCCTGACCACGAGGGAGGGGAGGAAGGGGAGAAAAGGAAGCCGAATGTAATGAAAAATATGATTTTTTACTTCCAGTACAAAAAGGTTGTACAGTGACATGACGAGAAGCTGGCAGGGTCGAAGTCAAACAGCACCTTCTCCAATGTACGTTAAAGTATCAAGATATAAGCTACACATAATTTAGATATGGAGGGAAATATCTTATTGCACATTATATTCATGCATTCATTTTCTCGCTTGTTCATTCTGTCACCACTCTTACTCTTTCTCCCTCTCTCTCTCTCTAAATATCTTTGACATATTTTTCTCTGATTTTAGTATAATGGTCTGTCTATAGGCTGTTCTGTTTTGAGTGCTTTTTTCTTGTTGTTCTTGCTAAAATTGTTTGTTATTGTTTGTTTGTTTGTTTTCAAATTGTTATGAATATTCTAAGCGGTGTGTCAGAAGTCAGTTCATTACTAGGACTAGTTATGGACTTCAGGGTCTGTATATTGGTATGCAGTGCTACGACCCCTGCTCTACATTGCTCATCAATCTCGTTGTCTGTCTGTCGGTCTCTCTATTTTCAGTTTTTTAGTTAGTCTATTTTTAATAGACTAACTATAGAGTTAATTAATCGCCACATCAACCTAGTATATAACCATTAATTATTTTGTCTTTCTGTCCACGTCTGTGTTTTGTGCGTATTGCCTTTCTTATTTTAAGAATTTTAATTTTATATTTTAAATTGAATTTCGATATTTGATCTTTTAATAACTAACTTTAAAATTTTATGACTGTTATTTGCTTTTAGTTGAATTTATATATGCGCTTTTTGCGTTTCCTTTGTTGTTGTTTGTTTGTTTGTTATCGTAATGTAGCGTAGGATTTGTTGATCACATCCAGACGTTCGTTGTAACAAGATTCGGTTATCTCTGACAGAAGCGGCAGGCCTAGGAGAACGTTCGCTGGAAGACTACTTGAATTGGCAGAGAAGTAAGTCACATGACGATCCCACGTGACATACGTCACTTACATTCGATCACGTGATCATATCTCTACACTGGGGAATAGCTTGTTATCAGATACATTGATTTGTACAGCGGATATCGCATGTGATGAAACTGTCATTTTCAAGCGTTCTGATTGGTCGGTGTTTGAATACCTCATTTTGATTGGTCCGTAGGTACGTCAGCTCATTATCATTAGTCCTTGATGGAAAGCGAATTTAGAAGTTAATGTATGAAGTTTCCTCCTCATGCGATATCTGCTTTGTGTCTATTCTATTCTATTTCCATCTTATTTGTATTCTAATCGAGTCCAATGTTTTTAAAAAAATATCAAGTTTTATCCACAGGTAACCCAATCACTGCGACTCAAAAACCGTAAGGCTTATTATTGGGCTTCCTGTGTCCGATATTTCACATATCTTTTATGTGTGTACGTTTTAGGCCTGTGTCGTATATGAAAACTCCAAGGTCGTCCAGACCATCATCCATGGTAATACAAGAACAAGCTACTCCTTTAGTGGTAATGAGACAGAAAAAAGACCGACCCGAGAATGCTTCTCATCTAGACCCAGGCAACCGTCCACCCTCTCGGCCAGCATCAATGCTGTTGAGGGACGCCTTGAACATGATATTCGGAGCCACTCCAGCAGAACCGTCAACTGATTCGACAAGGTAATCTCACTATTCCTATTGGTACTTTGTTGCTAGATGATGATTTTTGTTGTTGAGGGCTGGCTTCAGGCATGGTAAAAAGACCACAATCATAATATTGGGATTTCTGTGTTAAGATATTTTCCCCCACATGTTTGGGCTTCCTGTTTAAATATTAGTTACCACAGGAAGCCCAGAGAGTGTACTTGGTATGTTTCAAAATAAAGAATCTTTTAGAAGAAAAATGGAGTTATGCCGTCCAAATAGCGCTTGACAAATTGTAAATTCATAAAAAAAGAACCCTTTCTATGATTTCGTACGGAAATTAAAAAACATTTCAGTTTCTCAACGACCTTTCACTTTTTAATGCTTAATTTTTTGACAAGCGAGAGATATTCTGATGCCGCTCTGATTCCAATTGTTCTTCATTATCATCATAGTGAGACCCCTAAGGAAAGTGGAAGCGGAAATACTTCCCAACGAGCATCAAAGCGTGTCTCGTTCTACGACGCGTTGGCCGAGAAGATGGCCGAAGTTAAAGAAGCAGAAGATGAAGCTGGCGCCAAGACAGACGAAAAATCCAAACTAGCGTAAGAATTCAATTTAACTAAAAATTTATAAATATGCTCTAGTGTGTGATGAGAGTACAACTACTGATACATTTATTATCAGGGGTCTTTATTTATTGTTGAGTTCAGTTGCACTGTAGTGACCCTTTAGCCTCGCTTACAGGTGTCCCTAAGCAGAAGAATACTAAACTGCCAGCTCAATTGTAATTATATCTATTTACCATTTGTATTTACATTGGTTTTATATATTTTCATACGCATATAAATAGTAGTTCTAGGTAAATTCTTGACTGAAATTTCTTTACGGCTGAAGCTGAGATCACTAACCTCGTTTTAGCATCAAGGTCCTATTTCATTACACAACACTACTGAGAATGCTTCACTTTATCTAACCACGTTCATATATTACATTCTTGTTAATGCTACCATTCTAGGCCTCATTCAATACCACACATCATGATACGACAGCCAAGCTACGACAGTGGTGACGATCTAGAAATACATAGGAGGTCCCCATCACCAAAAAGGTAATGAACAACCTATTTATTATCATTCATTCATTCATTATTATTATATATTTATCATTATTATTTATTTATTACTATTATTTATTTAATTATTCATTTATTTATTTATTTATTTATTCCCTATCAATATTAAGTACAAAAACAATAACTCTTACAATATTAATTAATTAATTTATTTATTATTAGTATATCAATATATTAATTTTAATTAATTAATTATTAGAATAATTTAATTTATTTATTTATTGAATTATTGAATTAATTAATTATTCATTCATTCATTTCTTTCTTTCTTTTTTTCTTTCTTTCTTTCTTTCTTTATTTTCCACAAGCTTCTGTATCCTAGTTACCATATTAATTTATATTAAATGTTGCAGTTCGTCGATCTCTGAGGAGAAAGACGAGTCATCTTCAGGTCCAGCGGTCGACAAGGAAATAGCTTCCCATGACCAAACAGTCAAGGAACCTTCCAAGAAGATTGATCAGCAAGACGCGGCACCAGGCAACAATAGACCACGGTCGTTTGATAAAAAACTGGTCGAAAAGCTTGAGGACTTACAAAGGGAAGGAGACGAAAGAGAAAGGGATTGCAAGGAAAGGTGAGTCAAACCACAGGGAGCCCAATTTCGATAAAAGTGAAAAGTTGGTCGACAAGGACCCGCGGAAAAAAGGTATATCATATTGGAATTTCTATTCCTGTCTCCTACAACTTTCTGTTTTATTCTTTTTTTGAAGAGATGAACTCGAAGAGCCATCTACACCTCCCGTTCCTCACCAGACACCTGACCCAAGAGACAGCGCGTCTGCATCTCCTACTGGGAAAGTAATGTAAGTACAGCAAGAACGACAGCGTCGTCGTATACTTCCCGCCAAAACCGAGGGAGAATTCCTACAGACCGGAATTTTCTTTGGATGTACGCTTGAAATCACGATGATTTCATTTCCTGATATGTCACCCAAGGCCGTGAAATTCCATGGAAAAATCGTGCGCGCTCCAAATCATGGAAAAGTAATGATATAAAGGTAAATTATACACCGTGAAAAGATGAAAAAACTTACTGACGTTTCGGACGTTAGTCGGACGAAGGACAGCGTTCGAAACGTCAGTAAGTTTTTTCATCTTTTTACGGTGTATAATTTACCTTTTTATCATTACTGTTTCATTAGAAATACCGACGCAGCTCACACTAGTTTTTAGCTAGTTATCTCTTCTTAAATCATGGAAAATAGATGTTTGAAGAGGCGACTTTCATTATATTTCCATACCATGGAAGACAAAAAATGATGGAAATGCATTTTGTTTGCCTGTCCAGGTTTCCCTATCAAAATAGGTTTTTAATACATCTTTGTTTATTTGTTTAATCCTACAGGAACTGTAATGAACTCGAGGATTTTCTTTTAAACTTGGATAGAGAAATGAAGGCAAAAGAAGAAGACCAACAGCCATAGAGGTTTAGAGGCGGTATGTTCTTGTAACCATGGCAGCGAGGGCTTGCACGTATGCGGGATGATTTTCGTTTATTTAGTCCACAATTTAATAAGCGCTTATTAAAATACCTTCCTGTTTTACCCTTTTTCTTCAGAATTAATCGTGACTGGCTTTCTGATTGGTTCCCAGGCTTCAGCGCTTTACTTAACAGATGACGCAATGTTAACATCACAAGCGCAAGCCCTTGAAACATCCACACTTTTCTCCCTTGAGTGGTTCCAATCAAGAATTGTGTTGAGTGGTAATAAACTTAAGATATAAAAAACAAGATGAGTCGAAAAATGGATAAACTGACATTTGATGACGACAGTGTTGCATGTCGGGATTGATTACAAGTGATACGTGACCCTTGGCTCGATTGAAATATTTTGTTTTCGACTTTTTTGTACCAATGTTATATAAATATGTACGACTGATATTCAACTAATAAACAACATCACATTCTGCCATGTTGGATAAAAGATGTGATCACGTGATTATGTTGGGAATGAACGCCACCTGCGAATCTATGTTCGCTAATCTATGGCAGGTATTTTACCCAATGACATGGACGAACTAAGAGAGAAGAACTCGGTGTTACGGTATGGCCAAATTCCGCCATATTTGATGACAAGTGTGATCACGTGAACTGCTATTGGTCATTAGGAAGAAACATCAGTGATTGGCCGAGTTAAGATCGATTGACCGTGATTTACCTCTTGATTGATTAATTGATTGAATTTATACTTTTTAAAATATTCTGATATCTCTTTAAGTATAATGTATTTTTATATTGCTCGTTAATAAATCATTTTTTTCAAATGAAGATATTTCAGTACGAGTGTCACGGTGTATATATAAAGATGACGTTACATACGCTACGACTATTTCTCCCGCGTTTTCTCCCCTAGACCCTCACTTTAAACGTCGCATTTTGTGACCAAAGTGATGTTAGGGACCGTTCATTTTTTAGCGGGGGGAGGGGGGAAGGAACCTCATGGTCATGCTCTCCAGTCGTAACCCACCCTTCGTACAACCGGGCCCTGGTGAAATTAGGATCTACTATTGAGTATTAGTCTATTTCACGGGTTACTTCACTCTACATCTTGTTATAAAGTTCCAAAGCTTCTTTTCTCGATTGCGCAAAGACAGATATTTCATATTCACACTGATCTTCTTCCACGTCAGCAGCAGCGATAATAACAACCCTTCCGGCACTTGTGCCAGTGTTGATGTGGTTTGCCTTCTCCACTAACGTCTTGGCCGATTTGTTCGTCTTCATTCCTTGCTTCATGATTGAGTCTGGGAAACCAAACTGCATCATGTAGTCAGCCAACAAAAGATGATGGGTGTCTCCGCTAACTCTTGGGTTTAGATCCACGAGGTACATTCCATAGTCACAAAGCATGATTTCACACATGACTACGCCAAAATACCCTTGCTTGTGCAAGTAATCCTTGACAGGAACGACGAATTGGTCGTAAAAACGATTCTTATATTCCTCTTGTTTATTCCATTCCACTACTCCATTCGTCCACTTGAATCCTTCGAAACCGCCAACATTAGTGCCCAACCAGTGCATCTTTCCCGAGACGTGTAAATAAAACTCAAAACTCACCATTTCATTCACATCTTCCATGAATTGCTGGTAAATAATATTACCAGTCCAACCATTATCTCGTATCTCTTTTATAATGGCGGCAAACTCGTTCCCGTTGTAAGCAACCCTGTTCCCATAACCCGACCAACTCATGTCGACTTTGACCATACACGGGAAAGAAATGGCGTCCTCGGAAGGGAAATATTTAGGGCACGGTACACCAATATCATGGATTGAACTCTTCAACTGAACTCTGTATAGAACATCAGGATCAACACAGTGTTTACTCTTTGGGAGACTTTGGATGGCAGCGTTAGTGACAATGGGTTTATCATCCCGTAGTCCTTGACTGACTGGCCGAATGTCTGCATCAGGGAAGTCGGGAAGCCATTTTTTCCAATGTTCTTTCAAGAATGAAGGAGGCTGATAGTCCGATAGAACAGGGACCTCATTCCCAGTCGCAGGAAGGTTTCGGCACGGAAAGATAAAGTCAGTGTAAATCTTTGAAGAGGGCGCATTATCAAAGACGCAGTATTTTAAGTTGTTGTAAAATTTGTTTTGTAGTGAATACGAAGAAGGCCATGCAGGTAAAAAATAGGCATCTTGTAAGTCCTTCTTGATCAGACTTCCAAGGGTCAACAGAGGTTGTTTGATATTACCAGACATGACAGCGTACAACGAAGACTCGGTTTGTAAACGACTGTATCTGGGTTTCCGGCTTTGTATGTAACTCGATCCCTATAACTCGAACTCGAACTCGAACACGGACTCGAATCCAAACTCGACGATTCGCGATGCCCGTAATTTTAATCTAACGTATTAGTGTAACGCACGCCCTAGTAAGTGTGCAGGTTTTTTTGTCTGGGGCGTGCGTTACGCCGCGTTAAATTTGAATTTTGAAAGCGTATCACTACTCTTAAATAATATGCGCATATTTAATTGATTCATCAAAACGGGGCTAAGCCCGCGGGCGTCGAATTCAAAATGGCGGCCAAGCAGTGAAAAGACCGGGGAGCTAATAGTTTCTTTTTCAAGTTTTACGTTTTTATTTGTGAAATAATTTAAGAAAACTTCATGCAAGAGTAGTGGGGAAAAAGAACTATGTAAGGGCATTACACGATATTTAAACTACTAGTCTTTATGTGATGATCAGTATGTAACTCGATCTGTAACTCGTACTCGAACACGGACTCGAATCCAAGCATAACGATTCGCGGTGCCCGTAATTTGAATCTAACGTATTAGTTTAACGCACGCCCTAGTAAGTGTGCAGGTTTTGTTGTTGTTGTTTTTTTGTTTATTAGGGCGTGCGTTGAACAACGTTTAATTTGAATTTTGAAAGCGTTATACGTTTACGTTAATCTGCTATCACGTCTTGTTTCAAATCTCAACACAGGACACCCAGAAAACTTTGTCTATTTATTTGCTCGTGTACAGCCAGGCTCCACTAGAACAGACGGACTATGAACCCAAGAACCCACAAACCACCTTTGTCTAACGGTCGAGTCTGTCATCGCGACGGGACGAGGCCGTATTACGAAGAACGAACCTCGGTTCGGGCGCTTCTTTTTTTGCGTTTGCCGAAGCCATACCAGTGTCGTGTACAGGATTGGATTTTTTCTAAATATAGAAGACTGGAGACGAGTTCCCTGTTACAATGATGCTTCTTCAAACATTGCTGGTCAGCTGTTTCATAGCAAAATCCAACATGGCGGACGAATCGTTGTGAATTTATTCTTTAGCAAATTTTTGATTTTCAGTTTTCTTGTAACATTCTTCTATAATGATTAAGAGTTAAGGCAAAATGCCGACATTTGAATGAATAGTTTTTGGTAGTTTATTAACATTTTTGGGAAATTTCTCTTTGAAATTGCTGGTAACATTGGTGAAGACACGTGATGGATGGAAACGTTTGCTCAGTTGTGGCTACTCTGCACGAGTTGAGGCTGTGTGCTCGGTGTATTTTACGGTTTATTGATGAAAGAAAATCTTCTTCCTATGAAGAATCATACAAGGTAGGGTACTCTCTGTTTTCTGGACATGAAAAATGTGCAACTTCATGTATAAATAGCAACAACGACGAGAACCTACGCATACATGACCATATTCTAATATATAAGCTTTGATTTTTTACAAGAAACTATAGAATTGTTAGGAAGGAAAATGGTGAAAATCCAGGCATGTGATTCTCAGGGTGCAACCACATGACTCAAAATCCCTTGAGGTATAAATAACAATGAAACAGCTGCTATGTTATTTGACCTAACAGAAGGAGCTAATGAAGAATTCTTTGTTACCATCAACCAACATGGCGGCTATGCAGTAAAATGCAACCCAAGAATGTGAAAAATGTTTCTAGCCCACCCTTTACACACCATGCACCCATTCTCTGCCCTGCTCTCCCCTCCATTGCTGTCCTTTTGCTTGCATAACTATACTGTGCCCTCTCCCCCCAGAAATCTGTGACCCTCCCCTGATATCCACCACTCCACCCCCTCAAAAGTTATAGTTTCTTCTAAGAAAAATCCAAGCATAGCTGATTGCCCAAAAATCTTCTTTTGTTAGAATGTTCAAGGGTTGGTTTCCGAAAAGTATGGAATAGAGTTCAAATCAAGGACAAATGAGGATGAGAATAGTAATGGTATGGAAGTGATTGATGATGACAAAACTAATGATAAACAGAAAACCGAAGAATGTGCACACATTTGTCCTTCATGTCTCGGCATTCTACAAGAACAATGTGACGGAACTGTCATCAAACAAGTAAGCTATATTCAATTTATAATATAGGGGAAACAATAAATGTATTCTGATCGGTTGAATTTAATTATATCTGGGGCTAGCCTCGTTGGGACTACGAATCTGTTTGCTCTGCCCCTCATGTAGTTTACGTGTATTCGCTCTCTTTGGATTCCATTTTTAAAAATTATTTATGTAATCTGCATGGAAGTCACTAATAAATAAATAAACAAATAAATCTGATTATACCTAGATTGAAGAGGAAGTCACAAATTCAGGTTTTGAGATTGAAAGTTTTACATTCTCTGTGTCACTTCCTTTGTGTACCTTGGTAAGACAGGTAAGGGTTGATATTTTAATTTGCCACTGGTATGTTTTGAATTTGTAAAATAAGTTTTTAATTTTTTATAAACTTCCCCAAGGAGGGTAAAGACAACACAATAGCTTTCACCAATAGGCCATTTGCATGATGGCATCTTTTCACTACCACTACCAAAATGCTTCAAAAAATACCTCTAAGAAAGAAAATTGGCAAAGCATTTAAATAGTGGTAGTAAAATAACACCATCATGCAAATGGTCTTTTACCACCTTTTCTGGAGAAAAGAAACATGGTAACTAGCTTAGATTTGTCTTCTTTTATAATTTTGTTTGTATGAATTCATTTCCAGCATTCAATATTCCTGCATTTAAAAGAAAAATTCAGGTAAATTTATTAAAAACCTTTGTAAGCTATTGTATTGGGATTCCTGTGTTTTCAGTCCACAGGCAACCCAACTGTTTTAAATTTTATGAAATCAATATTATCATATTAGTAGATCTCTTAATTCATAGTACCAAAATTTGAGCTGTGGTTATAAATAATAATTATATTTTTTCTATTAGTGATTTTTATTCTGGTAAAACATCGGTGGACAATCTTCCTTCGATAAAGGAGGTGTTTAAATGGGTGTGTGGACCAGCACTTGGCCTGATGTTGGGTGTGTTCTTCCAACATGAGGTAATGACATAATATATTGTATGAATTCTTTTATTCACCTTTAGAACGAAAACAAATTCTGTGCCCCACCAACTCTTCAGGAGCAGATTGAAGTTTTTTTGGAAGGGAATACGTCATTTATTATCAGGACCAATAATTGATGAGTCAACACATCAAGTAATATTATCCATAAAAAAGTTGTCAGCCTCATCTGGTGAGGTTGTGCATCTTTCCCTTAGACCCCCCTCCTACATCACCCCTACATCCCCAACCCCCTACCCCATCCATTATGAAAACACATTGACACTGGTTTTTCGCCTCCATCCATCTGATTTCCCAGTGGTCTAAGTTTGACATATGTTGTTGAAACCAAAACTTCTGAGGAATAAAAGTTATTAAGATCATAGAAGCACTAAAAGCACTTGTTAAAAGTATTAGGGGTAAATAAAGAAATAATTCCCAAGGGAATAACACATGGTATGAAATGTTTCACCCACTGAGGCAACTCACTCAAGATGTTGAATATCATTTTTATCAGATAAAAGCTTTTCACTTTCACATGACGATTTTCTGTACCTCAAAAAGATTTTGAATTTTCTTACTAATTGAATGGAATTGTCTTTCACTTTGTTCACAGAGTTCATTTCAGATATTGATTAAATTTGCATACGACAATGGAAATGAAGAATTAGAATTTTTGTGAGTAAATAAGAAATTTAAGTTATATTTATAGAGCAAACCTCTTTAGATTGGACGATTATGTTTTGTCAATTTCAGAATAACGTCATTTAGATACAGGAATAATTTTGTTATCAAAAAAAGGTTTGTCTAAATAGCATTCAATAATATTAATTTCCTCAGAACTGAAGTGGACCCCTCAAGATTCAAGGAAAGAAAAGCTAAAAAGGTTGGTACAGTGTTATACATTATTTAGTGTTGAATATAAGCTTATTAGTAATTCAAAATATTATTTGTAATAGGTATTATTTACTGTAATTGTTTATATTGGGCTTCCTGTTTGCTGGGGTGGATTAAAGATTTGATTTAGTAGAGTTAAACAATTGAGCAACTTCATTAGGTGATAAGTAGCTTCTATTATGACAAAAACTTGTTATCGCTTATCACCAACAGGGTCCAACTGAAAGCATGTGAAGGTGCCACTATACAGTTTTATCAGTAATGGGGAAAAATGTTTTTTTACCAAATTTTGAAATACAATTATTACTAATGGACATCAATTAAAAAATTATAGAATAACAACTGCAAATTTAGGGTAAAAACACTTTTCGATCCGCACAATCCAGTAATACGAAGTCCAGTCCATTCCAGCCATGCACGGTTCCGAATTTTCCAAAGATAAAAAAACGCTCATAATTCAGAATTTAGAAAGATAATTCATTTTTTAAAGGTTAGGTATGCTTTTCCTATACATCGAGATTATCCATGCCCTTTCAAAAGCTACAAAATTCAATTTGTAAAAAAATAAAAAAAATTGCCATACAAGATCTAGAATCTTAGAATTGACTGAATAGAACACTCAATAGTCCTTGGTAACAAATGACAATCTTATATGTACTAAGGTGTTCAACTGTTAGCAGATGGTCGGCGGAGAAGCAAGGCAATATGGTTATACTTGGACTAATTTCTAGCATACTATTTATTTGTGATTTTTATGATAAGTATAAGAATGGCATTGTTTTTTTTTTGATCCATAGCAGTTTATTGAATATTTACAACATAACACAGCATCTCATTTGAAATTTACAAGAATTTTGATTTCCATAATTTCATGATTTTTTTTAATTTCATTTTTTTTTTATTTCATTTTTTTTTTACAGATAATGCAATAAAATACATACATACAGTTAATTATTCAAACAGTTAATTATTCAATGACATTTAGATTATTCAATGGCAATTAGAATGGCATTGTTGTAATAATTCTGCATTGAGATATAATGGAAGTTCCTTATATAGCCCATTTCAAATATCTAAATGCGCTTTACATTAATGACCAGTGGAGGACTTTATGGGCTGCATATTAAGGCACTATTAGCATTTGTGCAGCTTACAATCATGAGTGATTTGTCAGTAGATTAGTATTATGCCTCCAAATTAGGATAAGCTGTTGAACTGGGAGACAATCCCCTACTCTTATACGAATAATTCAACACTTCCTTTTAGGTCCCCCATTTTACTGACGTAGGTTAGGAAGGGTTAGGAGACAGGGCCTTCATTTGCGGATAAAATTACAAAGGTGTCAGCTTCTCCTCAGTCATTTTAAGATCCTGAGTGTTGGTCCGGCCAAGGCTCAAACCACGACCTCCTGCACAACAGACCGATACTCTTACCCACTGAGCTAACTGGGTGGTGCACAGCTCTAACCAGTTTGAATTAGTTATGAGGATTCTTAATCTTAATGCTTTCCCTCCCCATATATACCTATTTCAGAAAATGTTGTCGGTTGGAGATCTGAAATGTAAGAAAGGTAATATATGTCACTTCCTTTGACAGAGAGCACCAGTCATTCCACTGTTTTCTGTGACTTCAATACGCAAGGCTCTTTGTGACTTACAAACTGCTAAACAACTAAGAAAGTATGTGGTTGCATCCTAGTTTGTTATACTCTGTTTATCAATCATTTATTTTGATAGTAATGTATAATGTTACATCAATTATTAATGAAACCTAGGTCAATGTTACATCAATAATTATTATAATAATTATTATAATTATTAATGAACCCTAGGTCAGGGCATGACCAACTCACAGATTGATTAGAGGCTTTGCACCATGGCAGCCATGACAGAAGGCAAAACAGTGGAGTCTTTTCTCCCTAGAAACTGAATTCTTTCTCATGTAATCCAGATTAGACCAGATTCAATTGTTCCTTCCTCCTGACATGTGATTGAGTAAAGTGTTTTTGCAGAGGGGAAAATCCAGTGAACCTGGAAAATCCATAAAATTCCATGTACATCATATAATTTGTTTTCTATTTTCTATTTGCATTTTCACAAGTAGTTCAAGATACAGCTCTATTTAAATGTTGATCATAATGTTTTGTTTGTGAATTTTGTCATAAGGTATGCATACTGTCCTCCTTCCTTCGCAAGATACAAATCGTACTGTGCTGAAGTTATCTGTTCTCATTCATCAATCCTACTAGCAGGTAAAATTAGTTCCAAGTGAATCTTTTTCTTTTTCTTTTTGTTTGACTTTCAGTTGACTTGAAATGTCAATATTATTTTATTAATTTTAGGAAGATATAACAAGTATTCTAGAACGCTACCCCAGACACCATGGATCATAGATGGGGAACGCATGCTTGAGTCTTCAGTACAGGTTTGTAAAGTTGCATACCCACGGTTCGCTGAGACCTCTAGAAAATGTGTGTGTATTTGGGGGGAAGAGGGGGGACTAAGATTGGAAAATATAAGAGACTTGTATGCAAAACAATAGCCCCCCAGCCCCTCCTACTCCATGGTCCCTGATATTAACAATATCATACTCATATCACTCTTATTCACGATTTTTAACATTTCTTTCTGTATAGGAAAAAATTTGTGATATTCTCTTATCAAAGGTCCAAGCAGATGGTAATCATGAAGAAAATATTAATTTTCTCATAAAGTTTACACTATTTTGATGAAATAATAAAAATTCATCCATTAAAAAAAAGAAATTAAAAGAATAAAAAATAAAAATAAATCACCTATCATGTATATGCACCTGGCCATCCATCTTTTCATCCGATTTATCCATCTATCCAACTATCCATTCATCCATCTCTTCATACTTATGCTTGTTATTTTTTTAGACTGCAAGTTTTCATCAGGTGGAAGAGAAGATATTGATGTACGCATGTTGGGAACAGGTAATCTATTACAGCTTATCATTACCATTACTATTGCTATTGACTTTCCATCCTTGCGTCATGTGACATACTATATTTTCTACTCTAGTTTCTCTATTCACTCATGTCTCATGATGCTGCAGGTCGGCCGTTTGTGGCGGAGCTTATCAACCCCCATAAAACTATCCTGAGTAAAGAATTCTTGGCACATACACAAAAGGAGATAAATTTGTCTACCACAGATGTAAAAATAAGACACTTACAGGTCGTTACTAAGTAAGTGTGTCAATCTTAACCTTCTGTTTCAAATTTTGAATAAAGTTAGGGCATTTGCTGTGGGTTCTAGGGGGACGGTGAGCCCTCTTCACACCTGCAGTTTATTCGTAACATGCATTCTTGGGGAAGGGAAGGGGAGGGATGATTCGTTAAGATATAAAAAACCTCATATTTTATAATTATCACTCCCCATACAGTGCTCTTCCGTGAGGTTCACTTCACACTCCACACACACCACCACTGCATTCTATATTTACAATGTATAACACTCAACTCACTGTTCATTTTTATGGAGGGAGGAAACCGTTGAACCAGGAGAAAAACCTTGTAGCAAGGGAGAAAACAACACATCAAACAAATGCAACTCACATATGATCCAGTCTGAGCCATGGCTCAATTACCCAGACCACCGTGGTGAGAGGCGAGTGGTAAACCACTATGACAAGTGGGGAGTGCCCCCTCCCCCCCCCCCTCCTTGGTTGTGAATTTTTTGCTATTGTCTGTCCATTTTAATTGAAAACAACTGAAATCCACATCCACTCATGGTTCTAGAGGGAAGCTTATGTTCAAATGGGAAAATGGAAAACTTGGTAAATAAGCATTATTATTTTTGACTTTTATCTCACAGGGAGGAGTATTCAACTCTTAAAGAAGCTGAAAATACAAAAACAAAAACATATAGGTAAGAAATATTAGATGCATTTGTACCTCAATAAAGTTTCCTTGCTGTAGGTCACCCACCAGGGAGAGGGTTGAAATTACCAAGGGTTAGGAAGGATGTGAGATGTTTTATAATTTGTTGTTTCCTTGCAAAAAACTCTGTGGCATAGGAGAGGTTGATTATCAGTCTTTATGTCATAGAGATGTCTTAGAGATGTGGATATATTTTCTTTTACTTTTTTTCTGCTTTCAATTTTATTTACTAATCTTTTATTATCTTGTTGCAATGGCATTAGTTGTCTAGTTTGGACAGAGAAAGAAATATCTGAAAAAGATTTAGAAAAACTAACAGAAATAAAGGTACTTTTCTATGTACATTACTGAGATGGTCACTCCCTACCCCCACCCCCTGATGTATACTCACTGCCCCCACCCCTCTAGTGTATACTCACTACCTACCCCAACCCCCTGATGTATACTCACTCCCTACCCCCACCTCTCTAGTGTATACTCACTACCCCCACCCCTCTAATGTATACTCACTCCCTACCCCCATCCCTCTAGTGTATACTCACTACCTACCCCCATCCCTCTAGTGTATACTCACTACCTACCCCCACCCCTCTAGTGTATACTCACTACCTAGCCCCACCCCTCTAGTGTATACTTACACCCTACCCCCACCCCTCTAGTGTATACTCACTACCTAGCCCCACCCCTCTAGTTTATACTTGCACCCTACCCCTAGTGTATACTCACTCCCTACCCCCACTCCTGTGGTATACACTCACTAGCTAACCCCACCCCCTGGTATATTCTCTGTAACCTTTGTAACTGTAACCTTTCTGGAATACACTCACTCCCTACCCCTCACCCCCTGGTGCGTACTTACTTCCAACCCTCCCCTATCTCATGATGCCTTTGATCTTCCCGATGTCAATAAGTCCAGTATCTTACCAGTAACTTGATGACTCTCTCAACAGGATTTAAAACTACAACAGAAAACCCCACTCAGAGTATTACACAGGTCAGTCTACAAGAAAATAATTTTTTTTTAACTAGTATTTTTAATATGATTATGCCAAAAATGATTATGATTCTTTTACCACTATTTTTGCTATGCACTGATTGAGGCAACAGTCACGACATGGAAATCGAGCAATACACTTCCGTCTATCATTAGAGTACATAGATGTACATGACGTGACTGTTGTCTTGATCAGCTATAGCAATGACAACAGTGTTAAGTATGACCACTACAGGCTATTCGTCCTGCTTTTACTCTAATGCACTACTACTATGTTCAGTAGGCCGTTCGCATAATGGCGTTATTTTTCTACCGCTACCAAACTTCCTCATGAGAATAGTAAGACAATTGGTAACAACTAACTGTACAGAAGAAAGCGTGCAAGGGATTCTGGTAGTGGTAGTAAATGACGCTATGATGCGAGTGACCTATTATCAAATTACACTTTGATTTTTCAGACTCTAAGGTCGTATCGTGACATGTTTGCCCAAAAATTATTAAAAAACTCTTTAAGAATGTTCTTATAAAGCTTTACTACAGTCTAGTAAGTGTTTTTACGTGGTATTGGTTCGCAATTCCTTTTGGTAGCGAACGGACTTGGAAATGGTAGCGAAAGTACCATGATTGGCAGCGAATGGACTGGTAGTGAAAGTACCATGATTGGCAGCGAACGGACTGGTAGCGAAAGTACCATGATTGGCAGCGAACGGACTGGTAGCGAAAGTACCATGATTGGCAGCGAAAGGACTGGTAGCGAAAGTACTGTGATTCGATAGAACATGGGTTTTGGTATCTTGAATCTCATACAAATAAGCACTTTCAACTGTTATGTTTCAGGAGACCATTAGCTGTCCGTGAGAAGGTTATTCATAGCATGAGCACCGAGTGGAAAGATTGCCACCACTTTACGCTGTACCTAAAGACTATGGCTGGAACGTATCCTTTGTACTGAGCCTTTGAACTAGTAGTAACCGTGAATAATGCTTTAATTAGTCACTATAAGGCTACCCATAGTAGAGGTTCCTGAAGGGGTAAAATGGGAGCTAGGATTCGGACTTTTTTTGGGTTGGGAAAAATGGGATCTTATGCACTGAGAATGGGATTCACAAATGAACGGGAAATTCAATCAAAAAGGAAATGGGATTGAGATTGGGATATTGTCAAAATGGGTCCTGGGAAATGGGGTTAGGACCCCGCCGTCCACCCCCAACCACCACCAACCACCTCCCCTTCCCTTAAGGACCCTGATAGTATACAATTACTTTGAATGCATTTGTGTTGTTGTTGAACCTTGATCACTACAAGCTATGTGAAAGAGTTTGTACATGGAGATTTTGGGCGCACTAAGCCTAACATCGGGTGCCTTTTGAACCTGGAAGCTGATATCTTGGAACTTGATGTAGAGGTGATGTTACAGTGTTATTGAGCACTTTTTTGTTACAATCAACCATGTTAGAATCATTAGTAAAGGCCAGACACTGAGGGTGGTCACTGCCAGGGTTTCTTTACGTCCTCAGTGGTTCTCGTACGTCCCTCCTTTGCAGGGTGAGGTAGTGTGGAGAGAGGGGACCGCAATTTTACGTGCTCATCCGAGCCATGTGAAGGTTGATTAAATGTTACACTATGGAAAGTAAAATCATGCTAATAAATCATTTGTTTCTACTTCATAGTCAGTAGACGTGAATTGGCCACCTCCACTAGACCCCTCACCGGAAGCATTACCATCAAGTGATTGAACCGACGTCTATCAATGATCTATTCGACTCTTATTTTGTTATCAATAAGCTATTCTAATCTTCACCCTTTTTTAATGAATTATGAAGATCTGTTCTTTAGATCCCTCGCAGAGATATTGAAAAATAACGAAAACACTTTTATTTACAAGCTACAGCTAATATGATCTATTTAACCCTTATTTTGTTATAGCTATTCTAA